GTTTAAGCTTTAACCAAGGCCGGTTTTGGAGGGTAGTACTTGTAGGTAACATATATGGCTCATAATTTACTTAAGTTGATAATGTTTTAGATGTAAGAAAGGATCTAAAGCTTTTTTAGAGGTCTATTCCTGAGACAACTTCTGCGTTGTGATCAGTTCCGAATTGAAATGAATCGTTTTGATATTTTGTACACTTTGGATGCTTTGAAAGATTTTTTATTACAAAAATTCTGATCATGGCAAATATAAATATAACGTATCTGTTTTTAAACCGAAATATTAAATTATGAGAATAATTATATGAATAATTTCACAATGGAAAATTTTTATTTTGAATATTTCACCATCATGATGCGACACACCATCATGAACGGTTTTATTTGCACCAAACTAGAAATTTTAGTGAACTCTTTATCCATACCAGTGGAACAAGAGCACTTCCACATAAAAATGAACGTTCTGTATTTGCTTTTGATTTCTTTTTGGATATATGTCATATCTGTAGAATATTTTCATTCGAATCGTAACGCCATTGCAGTTGGATCACCACATGCGATGCACCGAACACCAACTAACTTTATCTTTTAACTATTTTTTTGAATTCACGTATCATGTTAATTTTCATTTAATATTCCGATTAATATACTAGAATATTGGATATGAATTACTCGATGCTTGAAAACATTAACATTAGATAAAACTAAAGTTATTCGAGCAATAAAACTACAGTACTTTGGTTATTAGCTTAGTCAATGTGGCTTTTTGCCTTTTTCGACTTGTAGAGAGATACTTTTGATTTTGAATCAGACTAAAGTCGCATGTCGCCGGTTGGTATTAAAGGAACTACATGTTATTTCCAGAGCGATCTGTAAAATATAACTTTTAAAATCATATTTTAGATTTGCATATCATATACTATATATGAACAAATACAAAAACTATTAATAAAAAAAACCAATTAAAAATCCGGAAAGCCTTGTTTACTTTTAAAAATATTTTAGATTTGTCTACGGTTTACAAATATAACTTTTAAAATCATATTTTAGATTTGTCTACGGTTTTGTTTTGTTTCGTTACAAAATCTGATTAGTTTGGAGATAAACAAAACCATTCAACATTGAAATTTTTTTTGGCAAGTCCATTTCAGGTAAAATAATACTGAAAACACAAAAATATATTGTCAATTTAGAATCAAATTATCAAAACAATCGGATCCAAACTTGTCAATTATTCGGACTTGAAAGTTCAATTATAGGTACACTACACAAGAAAGTTATGTCCAATTGTCCATATTCACGGTTTATGGAAAAAACTTTACTTAACTTAAGTCATAATCTCAACGAATTTACTAAACCTTCTAGACAAAATCGATGTTACAGCATTAAATAAAAAGTAAAAGTTAATGTAAAAGTGGACACAGATAAATGTACGTTATTTCGACATACATATTGTTATTTCGAGCTATTTATAAATTTTATGTGGCTTTTCCCTCATCTTATTAAAGTATCCAAATGGTAAATTAGTTTTCATTTTTTCTAGGTTAATAGAATAAAGAACTATTAGTGACTAATAGATAAAATGAATAAAAGATAAACCAAACTTGATGTATTTATCTATTTAATATTTGTTTAATAATCGTTACTTTTTCTAGTCGTCTTGAAACTCTTATAAGGACATATACTTTTTTTTTCCCAAAACAGATACAAAATGAGTACCAAATTTTAATGTCTGTCGTACTAATGTAAGTATAATCATTTCAAAAATTTCAGAACCCTAAACAGTTACAGAAATTCTTGCCAAACCCACAAGATATATGGAGATAAACAGTAACAACAAATAATAATATGGAGATAAATGGATTTTGTTGATTCTGATCTACGTGTTATATAAACTTACAAATACTGTTTGTGATTGTACCAAACCGATATACCGGTTAAAAGACTAAACCGACATTGATAATGCAATTGAATCAACTCATTCACATAGCTTTATCATGTAAAAGTCTCCGGTGTTCATATTATGAACATTAGCTTTTTCTGAAATTGTCTGTGATTAATGATGGCGTGAGACTTGAATGTGAGTACAGTTTACTAAAGCTATGTAGAAAACGCTTGAGAGAGGGTGGGAGGGATATCTCAAAAGAGGGCAAAATATGAATATGACAAAATAAGAGTTTATATTATTGCTGCTGTGGCATTAGCATTAGAGTTACAACTCAAAAATTTCAAACAAACAAAAAGATAAAAAGCCAGAAATACTAAAGTTGAGCATTACGAACTAAAGCCTCATAACCAGATGTTTTTGTCGCGGCATTCCCGAGTTCAACCGGAGCATGAGCTACGTGAACAAGACATATTTGATATCCAAGACTGACCACGCCTTCCACTGCCGGAGTGGGAGTGATATCTCAAAAGAGGGCAAAATATGAATGTGGCAAAATAAGAGTTTAGATTATTGCGATTGTGGCATTAGCATTAGAGTTGCAACTCAAAAGATT